GGTAGGGGTGGACAGAGGGTGACCAAAGGCTCGAATTTCTAAAAGATTATTTTTCTATATTCTGATTGCCTTTCCTTGGCCAACCTGGTAAATAGCGCCCTCTGGTGCTCATGTGTGAGAGAACTTCCACCTGGGACCAGATTTACTTTATTAAAGTACTTTATTAAAGTACGTCAACATAGCATTTCAGTGCATTGAGAAATTGGTGCTGCATGCGGCAGCCAGTATTGCACACAGCAATGTTTCATAAACAGCCATGGATTGAATGACCAATTTTATTTTTGGGGATTTGTTGGCCAAGACACCGGGAGAAACTCCCATTCTTGTTGAATAGTGCCATGGGCTCTTTAACGTCCACCTGAACAGGCAGGCGGGGCCTTAGTTTAACGTCTCATCCGAAGGACAAAACCTGTGGCAACGCAACACACCCCTTTGCAGTACATTGGAGTGTCACGTCAATGTGATTCCTAATGTGGGGCTTGATCCAACAGTAGGGTTACCATCTCTAAAATGCAAAACAGCCACCAACTCGAAAAGCACCTCCTCGCCAAGCCCACCGTGGCCACACAGACACAATTTATTTCCTAATTGAGCGCTACCGTACTGTGTGGAATCCCATAGTGGTTAGAGCACTCGCCTCACAAGCGAGAGGACCTGGGCTTGATTCCCGGGCAGGGCAAAACATTAGGCAAGTTTCCTTACTTCACACTCCTCTGTTTACACAGCAGTAAGTAGGAATCCGGTTGTTAGTTGATTGATGGATCACATTTCTGGGGGTAATAATCCCTTCAAAATAATGAAATAAATAACAATAGTAATAATAATCCTTTATATTCCTTGTATTTGCTCCATCTCTTTACTTCTCTGGCTCATTCCTCTCTTTCGAGCAACTTACACTCTACCATCCTTCCAAACATTCCCACAAAATTCTCCTCATTTACCACTCCCCCAAAACAACAACAACTTGCACTTATATAGCGACCTCCGCGCAGGATAGCGTCTCTACCCCCACCTCCGCCACCTTCATCTCTGATGTCTCCACCCTCCTAGCTTCCCTCTGCCTCTGTTCTGAAGGTCTCTTCATCCTCAGCGACTTCAACCTTCACTTCACCCCCGCCTGCTCTATCTCCTCGGACTTCTTCTCTCTCCTCTCCTCTCACAACCTCTCCCTCCATGTCCACTCTGCCACCCATGTTCATTGCCAACCACTCAATCTAGTGATTACCTGGGGCCTCAGTATCTCGGATATCACAATCACAGATAAAGCCATCTCTAATCACCATTTTAATCTCCTTTAACTCCTCAATCTCTCTCCCCACCACCACCCAACCCACTTTCATCTCCTATCACCACTGGAAAAAAATCTCCCCGCAATCCCTCTCTGCTGCCCTGGAGTCATCTGAACTCCTCCCCCTCTGACCTACCTCCTGCGCTGATTTATCCTCCTTGCTCACTCTCCTCCACAACTCCCTCTCCACCACTCTTGATGCCCTCGCACCCCTCACCTCCCGAACCACCTCCTATTCATGAACCTGACCCTGGTACACCAGCCAACTCTGCTCCCTCAAGGGTCAGGTGTGGGCCACCGAACACACCTGGCTCAAATCTGACCTAACCGTCCACCAGCAGATCTGGCTGGACCACACCAAAATGTACCACTCCATCGTCCCTTTTCTTTCCAAGATCCTTGAAAGAGTCTTTGCTTCCCAGCTTCGCTCATTCCACCCCCTTCACAAGCTCCTCCAATCGGGTTTCTGTGCTGCTCATTACACAGAAACTGCTCTGGTCAAAGTGACAAATGACAATTTGTCCATCTGTGACCAAGGCTCCCTCTGCCTCCTCATCCTCCTTGACGTCCCTGCTGCCTTCAAATACTGTGGACCCTCCATCCTCCTCAACCTTCAAGGTTCTGTCCTTGAATGGTTCGGGTCTTATCTCTCACAATGCCTCCAATTTGTCTTGGCCAACAGTTTCTCTTCCAGCCCCTGCACAGTCTTGTGTGATGCTCCTCGGGGCTCTGTCCTCGGTCCCCTCCTCTTCAACCTCTACATGCTCCCACTTGCTGACATCATCCGCAGACATGAGGTCAATTTGCACATGTACGCGGATGACACCCAACTCCATCCCTCTGCCTCCACATTCGATTCCAGGACAATTGACGTCCTGACAGACAGTCTGTCTGACATCAAGTCCTGGATGAGAGCCAACTTTCTACAGTTAAGTGTCAGCAAGACCGAGACTCTCCTGATTGGCTCGCGCCAGCACCTCCACACCTCCATCGACAGCGTCAGCATCCATAGATGCACACTCCACCTCACCAAGCCGGTCAGGAACCTGGGCATCTTGTTCGACCCTCAACTGTCCTTTCTCCCCTATATCCATGTCATGACCCACTCTATCTTCCCCCACCTCCGCAACATTGCCCTCAACCCTCAGGCTACCGAACCCCTCATACATGCCTTCATTACAACCAAGCTTGACTATGCACTGCTTGTTGGCTTCCCAACTCTTCCGTCCACTAGCTGCAGATCATCCAGAACTCAGCAGTTCAGGTCCATTCCCGCACCAGGCTCCGTGATCCCATCACCCCCACCCTTACCTGGCTCCACTGGCTCCCCATCCTTCAGAAGATAGAGTTCAAAATCCTTGTCCTCACTTTCAAGGCCCTCCACGGCTTTGCCCTCTCCTACATTTCTGACCTGCTAGCCCCCTATCAACCTGTCCACTCCCTCCGTTCAACAGGCTCCAGCCTGCTCCATGTCTCTCGCCCGACCCGCCCTACCATCGGCGACCAGGCTTTCAACCTCTCTGCCCCATTCCTTGGAACTCCATCCCACAAGCCTGCATATAGCGCCTTATCATGTTTTCAAGACGTCTCAAAGCATTTCGCAGAATATACTGTAAAGTGAATTGTCTTATATATTTTATGGGCAAAACATGGCAGCCAACTGTCCCACAAACAGTCCCGGATTGAAGTGACCAATTTTAAAAAAAATGGAATTATTGCCTCCAGAAAAGTGATCCGTCAATCGATAACAACCGGGTTCCTACTTACTGCTGGGTAAACAGAGGCATGTGGAGTAAAGGAACTTGCCCAATATTTTACCCTGCTGGGAATCAAACACAGTTCTCTCACTTGCGAGGCGAGTGCTCTAACTTCAATTTGAATCAAAGTGTTCAATTAAAGTTTCATTCAAATTGCTCTCAGCCCCTCCTGTACTTTCCCATCACCTGAAAAAAACAATACATTAAATTTAATAACAATTGATATTAGCACTTAAATTTTGAGGAAGTCTCCAAGAGCTTCACAAAGTTTCTGTGAAACGCTGTAACTTTTTTTTAAGACAAATATTGCTTCTATCTGATGTTTGCCCTGCAAGTTCCCTGAAGATAATATCTCCACTTTAAGAAATGCTCACCAGTGCTCCTTTAAGGACAAATAAGATCCTTTTGCCAGGTCAGTCAGCTGCTTGCCCTTTAATAACTTTAATCCAATTGCAAACAAGTGACATGTGATGTTGTTGGAGCTTTTTATGTTGACCAAGTATAGCAAGGGAGTGTTAACAGCAAACCAGCCAGTCTGTCTCATTGGCAGAATTTGGAAGGGCAGAAGTCATTGGGGCCAAAATGGTTAGGGTGGTCCTAGCTGGAAAGCAGTAGGAATCTTGCAAGGCAGTGCTTTCAATAGCAAATTATGCAGTTTTAGTTGTTTACTCTCCAGCAGTTACCCCAATTCACACTCTGGGATTAGGTAAACAGGGTGTATCCTTACAGGCAGTGAGAATGCACATTCTTCTGCGGTGGCAGGGAAATTTCCATGTGTAGTTGGAACTCACAGTCTGACTGATAATGAGGGTTCGGACAAATAATGACTCATAAAAATTTAAGAGAGAGCAAGGAAAACAAACTATTTTTGAACACAGTTCAAGACAAAAATTGTGCCAAGTTAGAAACACGCGTTTTTTTTAAACAAAATAGATTTCTTATAAAAAACAAGTTGCATATATATAGCACCTCTCATAATAATATAATAATAATCCTTGCATTTGATATAGCCCTTTTCATGTCTTCTAGACGTCTCAAAGCGCTTCACAGAATAGACTGTAAAGTGAATTGACCGTATATTTGTGGGCGAAACACGGCAGCCAATTGCGCACAGCAGCGTCCCACAGTCATAATAATAATAATAATAATCCTTGCATTTGATATAGCGCTTTTCACGTCGGGAGGATGTCCCAAAGCGCTTCACAGAACACACTGTAAAGTGAATTGACTGTATATTTGTGGGCGAAACACGGCAGCCAATTGCGCACAGCAATGTCCCACAAACAGTCGTGGATTGAAATGACCAATTTATTATTGTTTTGGTTTTGGAGGGATTATTATTAGGCTCTGTGTGGAGTAAGGAAACTTGCCCAAGGTTTCGCCCTCTGCCTGGAATTGAACCCAGGTCTCTCGCTTGCAAAGTGAGTGCTTTAACCACTGAGCCACAGGACTCCATGCAGCGTAGTATCCCAGAGCACTTGAGCGCTGTGCAGGAGCACAATGTGGAACTGGGGGGGGGGAGGTGACCGTAGGCATGATCGAATCAGAAGGTCTTCAGGTGTGATCTAAAGATGGGGAAGGAGGGGGCAAGATAGAGGAAAGAGGGTGCCAGAGTTTTGGGGCGCAACGGCTCGAAACGCAGCCACCAATGGTGGAACGGAGGGCACGGGGGACAGACAGGAGGCTGGAGCCAGTTGAGCGGAGGCAGCAGGTTAGGGGGTTACGCAGGTAAAAGAGGTAGGGAGGTGCCAGGGCACAAAGGGGTTTGAGGATGACCATCCCTCACAATTAGATAACCAGATAGCTTTAAGTGCAGAGGCTGGGGAGGGGAGAGGCATTGAGTGCAATGCAGGCTGGGACTTGTAGGCACTGTGTGGGGATGGCTGGAGCCAGAGACTACATTACCCAGTGGGTGAGTGAGTGAGTGAGTGAGAGCGTTGGCTCCAGCTGGAGAGAGGGAGAGAGGCAGTGGGTGGGGGAGGTGCTGCTGCTGCTGCTGTACAGGGGCTGGGCCTGTGGTTGTTCAGGGAGAGAGTGGGGGGTGGCTCAGCAATGTGTCTGGGGCTTCCTGGTGTCAGTGTGGTTTGTGTCAGACACTCCCTGCTCCTCCTGGTTCAGAGAAGGCTGAGCCAAGGCTCTGCTATGGCGCCAGAGACAGAGGCTAAAAAGAGAGCTGCCTACATGGCTGTGGACAAGTATGTGCAAGTAAGCAGTTTTGCTCTTTTTTTTCATGCAATGCAGTGGGTGCCTCAGTGCAAATACCCCCCCTCCACCCCCCCCCCCCCCCACACACACACATAACTTCCTTTTAAAATCATTGCTTCACTTTAACCTGTGGGTTTTGCATCTGCTCTTCAGCCCAGCTCCTTGTGTTCGAGATAATAAGAGCAACCCTAGCATTTGAAATAGCACCTTATCGTGTCTTCCAGGCGTCTCAAAGCGCTTCATGGAATATTATCCCCGGGGTTTCTACTTGTGAACTTTATTCCTCTTTCTCTCTTCTCCACCCCTCCTCCCAGAAACCACTCTCGTCCCTTTATTTAGCGATTCTTTTTAAAAAGGAGAATAATTCAAAGGTTTGCTTGGCAGGTTGCAAATGTTGGTTTCTTGCCGCAAAAATATAATGATAATTTGGTCACTCAGTCCACGGCCGTGGGGACGCTGCTGGCACTGTTGGCTGCCGCGTTTCGCCCACAAAATATACAGTCAATTCACTTTATAGTATATTGTGTGAAGCATTTTGAGACATCTCGAAGGCGCTATATCAAATGCAGGTATTATTATTCTAAGTCCTGAATAAAGCGTTTGGAACATGTTAAAGCACTTCACATGATCTTACTGTAAAGTGCAATGACTGTGCATTTGTAGGCAAACATGGTAGCCAATTTGCACACAGAATGTCTCACAGCCGTGAAGTGAATGACGGATTTTACCTGCGGGACTGTTGGATAGAACACCTGGTGAGCGAAACGCCCTTCTCTTCTCAAATAGTGCCATGGGACCTTTAACGTCTACCTGAACAGGCAGACTGGATCTCGGTTTAATGTCTCATCCATAGGACAGCACATCTAACAGTACAGAGCTCCCTGCGGTACTGTATTGGAATGTCATCTTAGACTGTGAGTTCAACGAAGTAATGTGGGGCTTGAACCCACAGCCTTCTGACTCAGAGAAGAGAGTGCTACCAACCGAGCCAGGCTGACATCTAAAATGCATTTTTTCAAAGAGATAAGAGTATAAATATCGGCACAGACCGGTTCCGTGCTGTACATTCTTTAAATACATCCTTTATAAATAAGGAAATGGGGTTAGGAACTCTGCACTGCTCTCATAAACTGGTGGGGTAGGCTATGGTTTCTTCCTGCTCCTATGCGCCCTGTGGGGGGGAGTGAGAGATTCAGGCTGCAGTAACAGTGAGTAGGGGGAGTGAAACGTGTCGATTTATGAAAGGATTTATTAAGGAATGCGAGAGAAGGGGAGGAGAGAGGGTGGGGGCCACAGTGATCACAAGAAACACATTCTGCAAGGCTGTGTGGGAACCCCTTCCCCCCCCCCACCCCGAAAGGCAGAGTGATATGTTTGCTAACTCTTTACAGGTGTGGGTGTAACTTTGTGGATGTGTGTGCAGTTGTATCGTTATTTTTTGTGCCTGTGTGAGAGACGCTGCCCTGGGTGAAGGGTACTATATCCATGCACATATATGCAAGTTGTTATGATCATTGTACGCATGTATAACAACAACAACTTGCACTTATATAGTGCTCTTCACGCCGGATGGGTAGTATCCATGTAACCCGTGTGTACGTGTAATAACTATAGTTTTTGTATAACTTGTAAGCGTGATGTGTGTAAGCTCGGAGGGGAATGGGTAATGTGTTGGTGCGGAGTGCATAAAATGTGTGTAAGCCTATGTGTGCCATGTGTAAGGTGTGCGTAAGTTGTGCGTTTGCGTCTTGTTCGACCGTCAACTACCCTTTCTACTCCACATCCATGCCATGACCTGCTCTGCCTTCCCCCACCTCCACATTATCACCCGGCTCCGCTACTGCCTCACCCCCCTCAGACCCCCAAAATCCCATCCATGCATTTATCACTGCTAGGCTTTATTACGCCAGCTCCCTGCGCTAGGTCCCCTGCCCGGCCCACCCCACCATCGGCGGTTGGGCTTTCAGCCTCTCTGCCCCCACCCTTTGGAACTCCATCTCACAGCCCCTTCGCCTTGATCCCTCCCTCGCCCTCCTACCCCTACCCTCCCTGTCATCCACCCCTCCTGATCCCAACCCCCAGCTTGGGAGGTCCTCCTGACGTGAAAGGTGCTATGCAAATATAATTTGTTGTTGCTGTTGCAAGCCAAAGTCCTAATGGGTAGGGTCTTAGCTGGACAAATAGCAGGAAAGCTTGCCAGACAGCTGGGATTTCCATGTGTAGGTGGGATGCATGGAATTTTCAGTTTAGTTTGGATGCTCTTAAGCATGGTGATGGTTAGACATCATTACTCATGTGTCAGACACCCGGCTGACCAAAACAAAAGTCCATGTGATGGATGCTAACTAAAATATTTTCTTCCAAGTGTGTTTTCCAATTCTCCTTATCAGAAGTCACATTCCTTGTAAACAAGGTCAAGGACACAGTGTTTTTCAGTACAGTGTTAACATTTTATTCATTTTAACTTTCTTTACACTGTGTAAGGTGTATGTGTAAGCAAGGTGTGGCATGCCATTGTAAAGGTGTCATATTCATGATGTGGATGGCTGTGGACCTTAGTTTGTATTTTCTGTCACAGAATAACCAAGTCCTGGGGATTGGCAGTGGCTCCACAATTGTTCACGCTGTAAAGAGAATAGGTAAGTGTCAGCGAACGAGCGAGATTGTCTGACATGTACCTTCTAGTCAGTACCTTCTACACTGGTCTCAGCTTTCTCCTCATGCTATGACAAATGCATTTGTGGAATCCTGTAGCGTATCAGTTATAGCACTTGCCTCGCCAGCGAGAGGACCCGGGTTTGATTCCCGGGCAGAACGAAATCTTCGGCAAGTTTCCTTAACTCCACGCGTCTCTGATTACCCAGCAGTACGTAGGAACCTGGTTGTTAGTTGATTGGCGGATCGCTTTTCTGGGGATAATAATCACTTCAAAATAATAATAATTTGGTCACTTAATCCACGACTGTTTGTGGGACACTGCTGTGTGAAATTCGCTGTCATGTTTTGCTCACAAAATACAACTAATTCACTTTACAGTATATTCTGTGAACCGCTTTGAGATGTCTCGGAATACATGATAATGAACTGCAAGGATTATTATTAGTATTATTAATTCTAATGATATCGGGAGTATTAAAGCTCTGGGTCAGAAGATTGTGGAATCGAGCTTTATGCACTTCCTGTCTGCTTCGTCCCAGGCCCCTTCCTTGCCCCCCGATTAGACTGTATAACAAAAGCTGTAGTAATAATAATAATAATCCTTGCATTTGATATCAAGCCTTATCAGTCATCTCTTAAGCACTTTGCAGGATTCACTGTAAAGTGGAGTGACTGTGTATTTTGTAGGGGACCATGGCAGCCAATTTACACACAGCAATACCCCACAAACAGCCACAAAGTGAGTGACCAATCTTATTTGGGGGATTGTCGGCCCAGACACCGGGAGAGAGGAACTCCCGTCTCTTTTCGTACAGTGCCACCGGATCGGTAACTCACAATGTTGAGACGTCTCAAAGTGCTTCACAAGATGCACTGTAAAGTGGAGTGACTGTATTTGTGGGCCAATCTGCTCCAGCGACATCCAGTGCCCAACAATGGGCTGAGCAGCTGAATGTTGCTACATTTGGGGGTGAATTTGGTGTGAGACAAAACAGTATAATCAGCAGAAAATCTCATAATTTCAAATACTGTGGGAAAGGGGTTTTGGCAGGACGTGGAGTCAGGGAATCCTCCCACTCAGCTCCTGTTAACCCTACAAACCAAATCCCTAACGGGTAGAGTGGACAAGCTGGATAAGCAGCAACAAGCTTGCCAGATGGTGCTCACTATGCCAAGCTATGTGGTTTTAGCTGGTTAAACTCCAGCTGTTACACCAACTTTTGCCAGCCTAAATACTCCCCACAATTAAATAAGCGTCCCACCATGGACAGAATGTGTGTTCCATGGAAATTTCCATGTGCAGGTGGCATGAAGGGAACTCTGGTTTGGATACTCTTAACTTAATAGTGATGGGCTTGTGTAAGACACCCGGCTGACCGGAAAAAGTTGACTTACACTTTTTCCTTTGTTCACTCTCCCTTTCTCTGTAATTCTCTTTCTCTCTCTTTCCCTCTCTCCCATGCAGCAGATGTGCAAGGCAGTGAGGTTTTTGTGATTTTGTCTGTGTAACATCATGTTTGTGTTCTGTGCAGCTGAGCGGGTGCAAAAGGATGGTCTGAAGGTGGTGTGTGTACCCAGCTCCTTCCAGGTAAGATGATTCTTAAGTATTGGACCAGCGCCTAATACTTTCCGGAATTAGGTAAGCAGAGTGTGTGTCTTCAGGGAGAGAATGTGCATTCCATTCCAGATAGGAGAATTTTCATGTGTTGGTGGGTCGAGTGGATACTCTTTAAGCATGGCAATGGGTTTCCGCATGTGTCAGACACCCGGCTGACCAAAAAACTCCCCCCAATTTTCTGGGTACCTTGGGGTGGCGATTGGAGGGGGGGAACTGGGGAGGGGCTTAGACTGGGGGCAGGGGTGAGGGCTCTTTTCAAGTGGGTATAAAGCTAAAACAACACTTTGAATCTATAGCCAATGCAGTACTAGAGTAACTGGTGTGAATTTCACTGGCGGTGCTAACTAATCGACTGTCACAACGAGACCAAAATTATTATTTTCTGATCATATTTTTATAGTGAACTGAAAGGTCTGAAGAATAATAATCCTTGCATTTGCCTTATCATTCCGTCGGGACATCTCAAACCGCTTCACAAGATATACTGCAAAGTAGTTACTGTGTATTTTGTGGGCAAATGTGTCGGCCNTTTTTTCTCACAGCAAATGTCCCACAAACAGCCATAGAGTGAGTGACCAATTTTATCAGGGGCAAGTGTTGTTCAGGACACTGAGTGAGAGAAACTCCCTTCTCTTTGCGGATAGTTCCTCCCCCTCAGCACTGTGCTGGAATGTCAGCCTAGACTGTGAGCTTCAAAGTCCTGATGTGAAGAAACTAGTGCACTCCTGTAGCATATTGGTTCAAGCTCTCGCCTCACAAGCGGGAGGACCTAGGTGCGATTCCCGGCCAGGGCGAAACCTTAGGCAAGTTTCCTTACTCCACACGCCTCTGTAAGTAGGAACCCTGTTAGTAGTCGATTGGCAGATCGGTTTCTGGGGGTAATGATCACTCCAAAAACTAAACAAATAAATTTGATCATTCAAACCATGACTCTTTGTGGGACACTGCTGTACGCAATTAGCTGCACATTTCACTCATAAAATACAGTCAATTCACTTTATAGTATGTTCTGTGCCGGTGACTAACCCCCGAAATGTTGTCTAACCTCAGAGGCTCCTTTAAACATTCTTGTGAAGATCCTCTGATTGCCCTCAGACCCACCCCTCTCCCTGATTTAAGAAACAATAACTTGCTTGTTGATTAGACTGTGATGTGCAGGGAATGCCCGAGACATGATTTATACTCTGTGCCTCTTTGTGTTCAAAGGCTCGTCAGCTGATCTTGCAGAACAAGCTGCCGCTGAGTGATCTGGACCAATATCCTGAGGTAATATCCCCGTTAGATCTCCAACGCTTGGTCTTTAGTCTGGTTTCTGAGCCAGACAGGTCTGCAATACTTCAGCAAACTGCTGATGACAGCACAGCCCAGCCTGGCTCATCGGCAGGACTTAGAAGGGCAGACTAGTCACTCGGGGCAGGGAATGCTCACACTCAGCTCCTGTTAACCCTGCAAACCAAAGCTCTAAAGGGTAGGGTGGCCCTAGCTGGACAAGCAGCTTTCCAGGCAATGCTATCAATGGCAACCTGTGTAGTTTTAGCTGGTTAGACTCCAGTAGTTACTCCAACGCAAACTCTGGGGTCCCCAAGCTTTGGCTTTTGCCAACCTGCACCTAATATTTTCCGGGATTAGCTAAGCAGGATGTGTTCCTCCAGTGAGAGAGAGCGCATTTCATTCCAACAGTCTATCCCTGGGATTTCCATGTGCACATGTCCATTTCTGACCACGACTATGGTCACCTTCTCCCTGCCCCTGGCTCGGCCTCGGGCTCCGCCATTGTTAAGCGCTCTGAGAATAAATGCAAGTTGTTGTTGGATAGCTCAGTTTGGTTTGGGGACTCTTGAGCACGGTGATGGGTTTGTGTTTTGGGCTGTGTGACTGTCTCACTCTGGCTTTCAGCTAGATTTGGCCATCGATGGTGCAGATGAGGTGGACAATGATCTGAACTTGATCAAAGGCGGAGGGTAAGTTTTACACTGAGCTGTCAGTCATGCTGTGTGTTGGATATGATATAATAATAATAATCCTTAAACGCTTGCGAGGCAAATGCTCTAACCAATACGCTATAGGATTCCACAAAAGCCTATGACACAAAAGCCTGGGAATTAAAGATGTGGGATATATATAAGGGTGGTGGGGCGGAGGGGCTTGTGTCGAGTGTGAGACTGACTGAGTGAGTGACTAGCAGATTGTGTTGTGTGTAAGTTATGACTTGCTGTGTTCATGTGTGCGACTTAACGACCTGTAATGATTCTCAGTCCACAAAACTGTTGTATGAAGTAATTCCTTTATTCTCTGTCACAACACTCCAATATTCCAACCATCAGCCCACACCCCTGGTCCCACTCCCACTGCCCTTTATATCCTGTTTTCTTCTGATAAGCAATTTCTTAATTGCCATTTGCTTCTTGAAGCAAATATCCAAAAGACCGACCAACCGACTGAACAATCACATTGCTGCCCTCTTCTGTCCTCACAGAGGCTGTTTGACTCAGGAGAAGATCGTTGCCAGCTGTGCGAAAAAATTCATTGTCATTGCAGATTACAGGTGAGAGAACCATTTCTTTATCAATATTTATTGTTCTTCCAAATAGATGACTACGCCATCTGTCTGACTACTTACTTAGCTGCCTGTTCCCAACCCACATCTGTCAAAACTGTCAGACCTCTACTGCCAGAATACTCACCTGCTCTAAACTCCATACCCCCATCACACCAGTCCTCTCCAGGCTCCACTGGCTCCCTATCACAGAACAGATGGATTTCAAGATCCTCTCACTCGTCTACAAATCCTTTCATGCCCTGGTACCTCCGTACCTTTCAGACCTGCTTATTCCACACTCCATTACCCGCTGCCTCCGCTTGGCTGACTTTGGCCTCCTGCTTGTCCCTCATCTCCTCCATTCCACCATCTGCAGCAGAGCTTTCAGCCAATACGCCCCAAAGCTTTGGCACTCTCTTCCCCCAATCCCTCCGTCTTGCCCCCTCCATCCCTTTTTCAGATTGTGTCCGAAGACCTTCATCTTTGATCTTGCTTAGCCATCCCCCCCTCTCTCCCTGGCTTGGAGTCATGCTCTGCTACTGTTCAGCGCTCCAGGACTACTCCAAGTGAAGAGTGCTGTGTAAATGCTAATAATTGTTGTACTGTATACAGAAAAATTTCCAAATGCCTTGGAGAGAAATGGAAAAGAGGAATTCCGATCGAAGTCATCCCAAAGGCTTACCTCCCGCTCACCAGGACCATAGCAGCCAGATTTGGAGGTGTGGCGGAGCTGAGAATGGCTGTCAGCAAAGCTGTAAGTGGGGGAGTGATGCGTTTGGAAACTTAGGTGTTTCAGGAACCCGACAAAACTCAGCCAACCTGTGCATGCTGGTTAGCACCCTCGCCTCGCAAGCGAGAGGACCCAGGTTTGTTTCCTGGTCAAGGCGAAACCTTAGGCAAGTTTCCTTACTCTACACACCTCTGATTACCTAGCGGTAAGAAGGACCCCAGTTGTTAGTCGATTGGCGGATCGCTTTCTGAGAGTAATAATCCCTTTTTTTAAAAAAAATTGGTAACTCAATCCACAACTGGGACATTTCTGTGCACAATTAACTGCCGCATTTTGCCCAGAAAATATAGTTAATTCACTTTATAGTATTCCGTGAAGCGCTTTTAGACCTCAATGTCACATTAAGACGCTATATCAAATGCAAGGATTATTATTATTATTGATTGCAGGGCCCGCTGGTGACTGATAATGGGAACTTCATCCTGGACTGGAAGTTTGAGAAAGTGTCTGACTGGAAGACTGTGCACTGCAGCATTAAAATGTTACCAGGTGGGGACCGTCCACTCGGGCCTGAGGCCATGCACTCAGGGTGGTTAGGGCAACGATAACAGCAAATTACATTTGTAATTTCATTTGTAATTTGTAATTTCGCCTTTCGTGTCGGGAGGACGTCCCAAGGCGCTGGACAGTCAGAATTTAAGATCTGGAGGGGTGGAGGGCAGGGCAAAGAGGAAGGTCTTGGAAGGAGGTAACGGAGGGGGTGAGGCGGAGGGACTCTGAGATGGAGTTTGAACTCTATGTTCTGGAGGATGGGGAGCCTGTGGTGCCGGATGGGGGTAATTGAGCTACACATGGCTGGTGGTCGGTGGGGTAGGAGGAGAGGAGGGTAAGGGCTTGGAGGCTGAAATTCTATTCGCCATACACAAAATCCAATTAATACAGAATTTTGTTGCCTGGATACTCACCTGCAAAAAACTCTAGCCACATCACTCCAGTCCTTGCCAGGCTCCACTGGCTCCCAATTACTGAACCAATTTACTGAAATTCACAGGAGTGGTGGAGACGGGTTTATTCATTGACCTGGCGGAGAAGGTGTTTTTTGGGATGGAGGACGGCACGGTGGAGGTTCGAGAGAGACCGTCCCAATGACAGCGAGCACAGGGGAGGGAGAGAGTGAGAGAGGACCAGGATGAGATCGAGAGAAAACGAGAGAGACGACAATGAAACCGAGAGAGATGATACGAGAGACACCACGAAAGAGAACACGAAAGAGAGAGAGAGAGCGTCTCATTCTTGCCTCCTCCTTCACCAGGATCCAAGTTGCCTTGCTTTCCGAGCCTTCAACAAGCCAAATACTATATTCTTTTTACATTTTATATTGTTTTAATTGTACAGATTAAAAACATTTTTTTGATTTTCCAAAAAGAAACATCAGTCACCTAGTTGCTTTATTAAAAACGCCAAGTCCTGCCCCCTCTCCCTCCCTCTTTTCCTTCCACTCCCACTTCGCACCCCCTCCCCACCATTCTGGCCACTTGTCGAATGCCATCAATGGGTCCCTTTGTACAACTGAACTAATAGGAGGTGTTGCGTAAGGGCCCCTGATTCCCATAAGAGATGAGACGTTTCTGCCTGGCTTAATCCCATCTCTGACCGTCCTGAATGGGGAAGGCACCTTTGACACAATCCGAGATATCCTGAACCCAGGGAGAGGTTAAACCAGAAACTCTGCGGAGAGAGAATCTCACCTACAAACAAACACTGTCACCACACCTTCTAGTGATACCTGGGTAGCTATTGTCAATGCGACAAGGCAGGCGCCGTATCAAATGCAAATCCTTTTAAGGATCATTATCTTTGGCAATTGCCTGGGACGACAAATGAACCCTCCAGAGTGACATTTGCTCTGTAAAGTCTTAAATGTGGTTACTGTGCAGGCAAACTCCCTTTCGCCTCTCCTTCCCCCTCCACACCTCCCTTCCTTCTCTCTCCCCCCCACCCCCCACTCCTTCCCCCTCCACTCCCCTTGTCTGCTCACGTGCCTTAGTGTAGGTCAAAGTCTGTGCTCAGTCAGTCCTTTACTGCCTTAAAACGCACAACTCGGGATTCATTGATTGATGCATTTGCTTGGTTCCAAAGTTTATATTATTTATGCTGCTTTTGCCTCCAGCAAGTTTCTGGAGGGAGTGAGGGTTGGGGCAAATGAGCATTTTTGTACCGAGAATTTTATATACTCAATTTATACCTGTATGTTGGTGGATCACTGCTCTACTTTGTACAGGAGTGACTGCTGTGCACTGGATCAATGAACAACATACCCTCCTTAATAAAAAGAATGTGATTGGATTTGCCTGGTCTCTTCAATGCTGCTGATCTACTCCTGTCTCAGTTGGTGGATCAGTGGTGGGGGGAGGAAGAGGAGAAACGAGTGGATATGAGTGGGGGTGGAATAAGTTCGGTCAGCTATTTCACCTGAACAGGCACAGATGGGACCTCGTTTTTTATTGCTGTGCAATTTGCTGCTGCCTTTTGCCCACAAAATATACAATTCATATTCTGTGAAGTGATTTGAGACTAAATATTATTAATGTATCATCCCAAGGACAGTACTGCCTCTCAAGCACTGAAGTGTCAGCTTAGACTAATTTGGAAGAAGTCACCAAGAAACTTCCGCATCTGGCTCAGTCAATAGCCTCTCGTCCCTCGATCAACAAGTTGTGGATTCAAGCCCTACATCGGGACTTTGAGTTCACAGTCATGGGTGTTTGTGGGACATTGCTGTGCGCAAATTGGTTACTGCGTTTACCTACAGATGCACAGTCACTATATTGCATGGTACAGCAGTTCTCTGTGAAGTGCTTGGTGACATTCAATGTTATAAGTGTTGAAACATTGCAAGGTTTATTAAAAGGTGGTCAAAAATTCAAAGCATCAAGAATTGTTTGCACTTTTCACTCATAAAATATACAATCACTTTAGTGTATATCCTGTAAAACGCTTTGAGATGTCTTGAAGACGTGATAGGTGATATATCAACTGCAAAAAGATTATTGTTATTTATGGCTGCAGTGCCTTTAGTTATCAGAGGGTGGCGCTGTTTAGGGACTCCCAAGGCATTGGACAATTTGGACCTGAGCTGAGTGTAGGGGTCGGGGAGGGTGGAGGGCAGTGGAGGGTGAAGGGTGATCGAAAGCATGGTCAAAGAGGAGGGTCTTGTTGATGTTCAACTGAAGAAAGTTCGCTCTCATCCAGGACTTGATGTCTCATAGACATTCTGTCATTACAGCAGTGGTTCTGGAGTCAAGGGTGTGAATTGGGTGTCATCCGCCTCCATGTAGAAGTTGACACCAAATCTGCGGATGAGGTCACCAAGAGAGAGCATATAAATATTGAAGAGGATGGGACCAAGGACAGAGCCCTGAGGAACACCGCACGAGACGCTATGGGGGCTAGAGGAGAAACCGTTTGTGGAGAAGAAGTGGAGGCAGTGTGAGAAGTACAGTCTGAACTATTCGAGGACAGAACCATGAAGGTTGAGGTGAGAGGAGAGGTGGTGGATGAGGATAGAGTCATTAACGGTGTCGAAGGCAGCAGAGAGGTCAAGGAGGATGAGGAGGCAGAGGAAGCCCTGGTCGCAGATGGACAGAATGTCATTTGTCACTTTGACCAGGGTTTTTTTTCTGTGCTGTGGGCGGCATGGAAACCGGATTGGAGGAGTTCGCACTAAGGCAGTGGCGGGAAAGGAAGGAGCAAAGCTGAGAAGCAACAACTCATTCCAGGACCTTGGAAAAGAAGGGGAGGTTGGAGATGGGGGCGCTAATTTGAGTAGAGATGGGTCCAGGGAGGGGTTTTTTAAGGATAGGAGTGATGGTGGCCGTCTTTAAAGGGGTGGGAATGGAACCAGTGGACAGGGAAAGGTTTATGATGTCTATGAGTAGAGGGACAAGGAGGTGGAGCTAGGAGGTAAGGAGAGGGGTAGGGATGGGGTCGAGGGAGCAGGTGGTTGGTTTCATGCGGGTTATAGTGGTGGTGAGAGGAGTGGGAGACAGGTTGAAAGGTGTGGAGGGAGGGATGGGTAGAGACCAGGGTGTGAGGGGGAGATGGGGAGGGCGTAGTAGATGACAGGACAGGCAGCTGAGCGGATCTCCTCGACTTTGGATTCGAGGACGTCCAGCATCGCCTTGCAGTTGGCGTTGGATGAGAGGATGGGCGAGCGATAAGAGTGTGGGCAGAGGAGTCAGTTGGTGATGGAGAAGAGCCTGGGGTTGTCCTTGGCCTTCAAGTTTGTCTTGCAGTAGAACAACGATTTAGCAGAGGCGAGGGCCGAGCAGTAAGATTTGATAAGGTCTAGCCAGGTCTGCCGATGGACCGTTAAGTTTGATTCAAGCCAGATGTGTTCAGTGGCATGCACTTGTGCTTTAAGGGAGCGGAGGTGGCTGGTGTACCATAGTTACTTTCGCGAGTAGGTGTCAGTTTGGGAAGAGAAGGGAGCAAGGGAATCAAGAATGGAGGAGAGGGAGCTGTGGAGGAGGGTGACTAAGGAGGATAGGTCATTGCGGGAAGAAGCCCAGAGTGGGAGGATTTCAGATGACTCCAAGGCAACAGAGAGTGTGGGGGAAATTTTTTTCCAGGGGCAGTAGGAGATGGAGGTGGGTTGGGTGGCAATGGGAAGAGGGATTGAGGAGTTAAGGGAGATGAAGTGATGGTCCGAGATCGCTTTGTTGGTGATGGTGAGGCCCCGAGTGATCACTGGGTCGAGGTGGTGACTGTGGACGGAGAGGTTGAGGGAGGAGATAAGGGAGTAGAAGTCAACAGAGGTAGAGCAGGAGGGGGTGAAGTGAAGGTTGAAGTCCCCTAGGATGAGGAAACGTTTGAAGCAGAGGGAGAGGGAAGATAGGAGGGTGGAAATGTCGGGGAGGAAGGTGGGGGAGAGCTTGGGGGAGTGTGATAGATAACGAGATAGCATGCCATAAGTCTGTAGAGGTTAGAGTCCTGGTTAGAGAACGTGGAGTCCTGTGGCTCAGTGGTTAGTACACTTGCCTCGCAAGCGAGAGACCTGAGTTCGATTCCCGTCAGAGCGAAATGTTGGGCATGTTTCCTTACTCCACACGCCTGTTTACCTAGCAGTAAGTAGGAACCCAGTTGTTAATCGATTGGTAGATCCCTTTTCCGGGGGTAATAATTCCTTAAAAAAAATAATGGTCACTTCAATCCACGAGTTTGTGGGCCACTGCTCTGCGCAATTGGCTGCTGCGTTTCACCCACAAATTATACAGGCAATTCACTTTACAATATATTCTGCGGAGCGCTTTGAGACGTCTAGAAAACATGATAAACCACTATATCAAATGTAAGGATTATTATTGTTATTATAAACACTGTGTGTACACCTTAAACAAACCTGCCATACAGGTGCAATGGGTCATAGCTCATGGACGATAGAAGATCCTTTCAATGCTAGGCTAATCAAAGGGGTTCACTGTTTGATCCGGCAGGTCCTCGAGTTATTGCAAGGTTACCATGTAAATGACATTTGCAGTTTTTACTCCAGAATCAGGATGGCTACTTCATCAGTAGTTGGTGCATTGTACCACTGCTCGTGCTGGCCAGCAGGTGTCTTGCCTGAATGGATGCTTATTCTATATTCATTTTTATAGTCATTTTTTCCATTGCGGGCTTGAAGCTCCTGACGTACGTGTTACTGCTGTGAAGCATGCTTTGCAGATCTAGTATGAGGGCTTTGTTCAACTCCAGAACATTGCTTCCATGCTGCATGACTTGTTCTTCATCGGTTCGTCATGAAGTAATCTGTAAGAATTTTGGCAACTCATTAGGTAATTATTAGCATAATTCTGACTTCTTAATTTCTCTAGTTGCGCCAAAAGGGGTCATCTGGAAGCATAAATTGTATTTCCTAAGGTTTGCTAGAAAATGCTTAGACTTTTCAGGGTTTCAGGTGGCTCTGTGAGTCGCTCTGATTTCAACTGGCCAAGCGAGCAACACATGGAAGGAACTTCTTTTGCCCATTTCATGGCTCCACAATGAGCACATACGGCTCGACATATTCCCAATATGATGGGGGCCATTTTATTTGTAGTCTCTGCCTGGATCACAATTGAGCGCAGTTAAATGGAGTGACCTCTGCTGCTGGGCATCATTTTGCTATGTTTTGCATGCCTTTCTGTGTTGAAGTCCAACTGTGCTGTTATTTTTTCTTCAGTGTCAGTTAATCTGCCTTCTCTCTTTTGCCTAGCGTTTTTAGTTGTCCTTGAAAGGCTTGATCTTCACTCAGGCATCTTTAAGATTAAGAAAATGTGCTATTGAGAGGACTCCTGTTGGGAGGACTGAGTGGGAAGACACAGTGGGAGGACTCCTGTTAGGGGGACTCCTGTGGGAGGACTCGTGCTTGGGAGGACTCCTGTGGGAGGACTCATGATTGGAAGGACTCCTTGTTGGGTGTACTCCTGTGGGAGGACTACTGTTGTCACTTTGTTGCAGAATATATTAGTAGATATATCTCTGTAGAAGGGTGTGTGGTTTTGTACACCATGCATACCTCATATTTGGGGGCTTAAGCTCATCAACATAGGAGATCCTCCCAAAAAATGTGCCTATGATACTCTCCCATGCAAGATCTTTCCAGTGGTATAAATCATGTTTCTACGTCAATGGGTTATTGTGTTCTTGATGGGCAGAGAGACAGACATTTTGTCTTTATTAGTAAAGATGGAGGTGTTTAATCATTGGTCTACTCACAGAATAAACCCTGAGGCAAGTTTCCTTAGTCCACATGACTCTGTTTACCTAACAGTGAGTAGGAAGCTGGTTACTAGTCGATTGGCGGCTCACTTTGCTGGGGTCATAATACCTCAAAAATAAATCTGGTTACTCAATCCACAACTGTTTGTGGGACACTGCTGTGTGCAAATAGCTGTTGTGTTTTGTCCACAAAATACAGTCATTCCACTTTGTTGTATATCGTGTGAAGCGCCTTGAGATGTCTCAACGACGTGATAAAGTACTATATCAAATGCAATGATTGTTATTATTATTATATAATAAAATACATGGTTAATAGCCTTTACTAGCTCCTGCACAAAGCTTTCCCTGGATCCAGTTGTCGGGGGCAAAAGTGAAGCTCCGGCTTCCAGTGCGGGAAAAACTCTTCGTAAAAAAACTCAGGTAAAAACAATAACTTTTGGTTCTGTACGTTAGAGAGTCCAGTCATCTCAAAGCGGTCATTCTCCTACCCCTACGCTCTGGGTCTCCACCTTTCTTGATCGCAACCCCAGCTGGGGTGAGAATAATAATAATAATAATCCTTGCATTTGATATAGCGCTTTTCACGTCGGGAGGACGTCCCAAAGCGCTTCACAGAATACACTGTAAAGTGAATTGACTGTACATTTGTGGGCGAACGCGGCAGCCAATTGCGCACAGCAATGTCCCACAAACAGTCGTAGATTGAAAATGACCAATTTTTATTATTGCTTTTGGTTTGGGGGGAGGGATTGTTATGTGACTGTCCAGCAACTGGTGATGTGCTGCTGATGTGAAAGCCTCTCTGTACACATGTCATCTGCTGTCGTTGTTTCGTTCCTTCTCGGAAACCATGAAAGTGCCATCACTATACAACCCCTCCAGGTCTGCAGCCTGTCTCTGCCCCCCACCCCCCAGTTGCTGCCATGTGACAGGTGCTGCGTGTCTTTGCAGGTGGTTCATGAAGCGCTTGGAACTGATCAGCAAAGCAGTGAAGTCGCCAATGGGAGGGGAAGAGGACAAGGAACTACATCTCCCAGCAGCCAGCGCGGGCAGGACAGGACCGCCCCCCCCCCTCACCTCATTTTGTCCACAAATAAAGCCAGATAAACAACCCAAAGCCTGGAGCGGGGTTTTTTTTTCTTTGATTGAAACATAGACCGACCTTAATCTAATCTTTTCGTTACAAGATTAACCGGCGTATGACTGATTGGGTCGGCGTGGGTGTGTGTGTGAGTGTGTCAGGCGGGGGTGGGGCGCCCTGTCTTGCCGGGGTCCTGGCGCTGTCATTGGGAGCGGCGCTGAGGGGGTGAGGATGTCGCTGCTGCTGCTGAGCCGCCTCCTCCGTGAGTACTGCCCCACACTGCCCCCCCACCCCCACACACACACACACCCACACCCCGGGGAGCAGCGCCCACACACCCCCCCCCACACACACACACCCCGGGGAGCAGCGCCCCCACACTGCCCCCCCACACCCACACACACACCCCGGGGAGCAGCGCCCCCACACCCCCCCACACACACCCCCACACACACACCACCACCACCGCTTCATTTGTTAATAACCCGCATACAAGCCTCACCTCTATAGGCCGCGGGCTCTGCCCCCTCCAGATTACACCCCCCCACACACACACACACTCACTCACCCACAACACCCACACACACCAACCCCCCAACACACACCAACACACACACACACACACCAACAACCACACACACCAACCACCCCCAACACACACCAACCCCCCAACACACCAACCAACACACACCAACACACACACACACACACCAACACACACCAACCCCCCCCAACACACACCAACACACACCACACACAACACACACCCACCCCCAACACACACACAACACACCACACACACACCAACACACACCAACCCCCCAACACACACCAACCCCCCAACACACACCAACCCCCCCAACACCACACCCCCCAACACACACCAACACACACCAACACACACACACACACACCACACACACCCAACACACACCAACCCCCCCAACACACACCAACACACACACACAACCACCCACAACACACACACACACACCAACACACACCAACACACACCAACCCCCCCAACACACACCAACCCCCCACACAACACCAACCCCCCAACACACACCAACACACACCACCCCCCAACACACACCAACCCCCAACACACACCAACCCCCCAACACACACCAACACACACCAACCCCCCCAACACACACCAACCCCCCAACACACCACCAACCCCCCCCCAACACACACCAACACACACACATACTCACCCACACACACACACACACACACCAACACACACCAACACACACCAACCCCCCAACACACACCAACCCCCCAACACACACCAACCCCCCCAACACACACCAACACACACCAACCCCCCAACACACACCAACCCCCCCAACACCACCACCCCCCAACACACACCAAACCCCCCAACACACACCAACACACACCAACCCCCCCAACACACCCCAACACACCCAACACACCCCAACACACCCAACCCCCCAACACACACCCAACCCCCCAACACACACCAACCCCCCCAACACACACCAACACACCCCACACACCAACACACCAACACACCTCCAACACACACCAACCACCCCAACACACCCAACACAACCCCCCCCAACACACCCAACACACAACACACCCCAACACACCCAACACACCCCAACACACACCAACCCCCACACACACCCCAACCCTTCCACACACCAACCCCCCCAACACACACCAACCATCCCCCACACACACCAACCCCCACACACACCACACACCCCCCCCCAACACACACACCCGGGGAGCAGCGCCCACACACTGCCCCCACCCCCCACACACAACACACCCACACCCCGGGGAGCAGCGCCCCACACCCCACACCACACACACACCCCAGGGAGCAGCGCCCACACACCCCCACACACACCCCCACACACCCCACACACACACACACACCCACACACACCCCCACACCCCGGGGAGCAGCGCCCCCACCCCCCCCACACCACACACACACACCCACACACCCCACACCCCGGGGCAGCGCCCCCACACCCCCCACACACACACACACCACACACACCCCCACACCCCGGGGAGCAGCGCCCCCACACCCCCCCACACACACCCCACACCCGGGGAGCAGCGCCCCCACACCCCCCCACACACACACACCCCCACACCCCGGGGAGCAGCGCCCCCACCTGCCCCCCCCCCCACACACACACCCCGGGGAGCAGCGCCCCCACACCCCCCACACACACCCCCACACACACCACCACCACCGCTTCATTTGTTAATAACCCGCATACAAGCCTCACCTCTATAGGCCGCGGGCTCTGCCCCCCTCCAGATTACACCCCCCCACACACACACACACACTCACTCACCCACACACACCAACACACACCAACCCCCCCAACACACACCAACACACACACACACACACCAACACACACCACCCCAACACACACCACCCCAACACACACCAACCCCCCCCACACACACCAACACACACACACACACCAACACACACACACAACCCCCCCAACACACACCAACACACACACACACACCACACACACCAACCCCCCAACACACACCAACACACACACACACACACCAACACACACCAACCCCCCAACACACACCAACCCCCCCCAACACACACCAACCCCCCCAACACACACCAACCCCCCCAACACACACCAACACACACCAACACACACACACACACACTCACACACACACCAACACACACCAACCCCCCCCAACACACACCAACACACACACATACTCACCCACACACACACACACACCAACACACACCAACACACACCAACCCCCCAACACACACCAACCCCCCCCAACACACACCAACCCCCCAACACACACCAACACACACCAACCCCCCCAACACACACCAACCCCCAACACACACCAACCCCCCAACACACACCAACACACACCAACCCCCCCAACACACACCAACCCCCCCAACACACACCAACCCCCCCCCAACACACACCAACACACACCAACTCACCCACACACACACACACACACACCAACACACACCAACACACACCAACCCCCCAACACACACCAACCCCCCAACACACACCAACCCCCCCAACACACACCAACACACCCAACCCCCCCAACACACACCAACCCCCCCAACACACACCAACCCCCCCCAACACACACCAACCCCCCCAACACACACCAACACACACCAACACACCCCAACACACCCCAACACACCCCAACACACCCCAACACACCCCAACACACCCCAACCCCCCCCACACACACCACCCCCCCAACACACACCAACCCCCCCAACACACACCAACACACCCCAACACACACCAACACACCCCAACACACCCCAACACACACCAACCCCCCAACACACACCAACACACCCCAACACACCCCAACACACCCCAACACACACCAACACACCCCAACACACCCCAACACACCCCAACACACACCAACCCCCCCGACACACACCAACCCCCCCGACACACACCAACCCCCCCAACACACCCAACCCCCCAACACACACCAACCCCCCCAACACACACCAACACACACCACCCCCCCAACACACACCAACACACACCAACACACACCAACACGCACCAACCCCCCCCAACACACACCACACACACCCAACACACACCAACCCCCCCCAACACACACCACACACACCAACACACACCAACACGCACCAACCCCCCAACACACAGCAACCCCCCCAACCCCCAACACACACCAACACACACCAACACGCACCAACCCCCCCCCAACACACACCAACACACACCAACCCCCCCCAACACACACCAACACACACCAACACGCACCAACACGCACCAACCCCCCCCAACACGCACCAACCCCCCCAACACACACCAACCCCCCCAACACCCCCAACACACACCACCCCCCCCCAACACACACCAACACACACCAACACACACCAACCCCCCCCCCAACACACACCAACACACACACACCAACACTCATAAAAGACCGGCAGACAGACAGACAGACATAGAGAGAGTGAGAGAGAGAGAGGGACAGACAGAAAACTCTCTGAATCTGTGCAGAACTTAGATGTCAGGTTGAATCCCCAGTTATCCTTCCTCCCCCACATCTGGTCGCTGACCAGCATCGCTTTGTTCCATCTCCACCACATTGCCCGTCTCTATAATAATAATAATAATCCTTGCATTTGATATAGCGCTTTTCACGTCGGGAGGCCGTCCCAAAGCGCTTCACAGAACACACTGTAAAGTAAATTTACTATATTTGTGGGCGAACGCAGCAGCCAATTGCGCACAGCAATGTCCCACAAACAGTCGTGGACTGAAAATGACCAATTTATTATTGTTTTGGGTTTTGGAGGGATTATTATTAGGCTCTGTGTGGAGTAAGGAAACTTGCCCAAGGTTTCGCCCTCTGCCTGGAATTGAACTCAGGTCTCTCACTTGCAAAGCGAGTGCTCTAACCACTGAGCTACAGGACTCTGACAATATCTCACACCAAAAGCTGCTGAAACCCTTTTCCACGCCTTTGTCACCTCTCAGCTGGACTGCTCTAACACCCTCCTCGCCCGTCTCCCCTCCTCCACTATTCACAAAATTCAGCTCATTCAAAACTCCACCGTCCCCATTCTTACCCGCACTAAACTCCACATCCCGATTACCCCAGCCCTTGCCAAACTCCACTGGCTCCCGGTCACAGAGTGGATAGACTTCAAGATCCTCACTCTAGTGTTCAAATCCCTCCATTTCTTGGCACCCCCCTATCTCTCTAACCTCCTCTTTCCCCACAGCAGTACCCGCTGCTTCCACTCTACTGGTTCCGGGTTCCACAGTGTCCCCTGAATCCTCCGCTCCGCCATCGGCGGCCGTACCTTCAGCCACTACGCCCCGAAATTTTGAAACTTCCTCTCTCAAACCCTTCGCTTTGCCCCTTCCTTCCCCATCTCCAGTTCGTCCCTGAAGACCTTCCTCTTCGACTGTGCCTATGGTCACCTTCCCCCTCCCCCGGCTTGGCCTTGGGCTCCGCCATTGTTAAGCGCTCTGAGATGCTGGCCGGCATGGAGGGCGCTGTATAAATGCAAATTGTTGTTGTTGACTGCATATTTGTGGACAAGACACAGCAGCCAATTACGCCCAGCAGTGTCCCACAAACAGTCGTAGATTAAAGTGACCAATTTTATTATTGTTTTTTGTTGTGTCGAGTTTGAAAGGTTTCTTGTAGTAACTGATATGGGCA